AAAATACACCTGGGAACCCCCAAATCTCCCTGGGAACCCCCAAAATACATCTGGGACCCCCCAAAATACATCTGGTACCCTCAAATCCCACCTGGGACCCCCCAAATCCACCTGGGAACCCCAAAATACTCCTGGGAACCCCAAATCCCACCTGGGACCCCCAAACCCCACGTGGGACCCCCCAAACCCTACCTGGGACCCTCAAACCCCACCTGGGACCCCCAAAAACCCACCTGGGACCCCCAAAATACACCTGGGATCCCCCAAACCCCACCTGGGACCCCCCAAACCCCACCTGGGACCCCTCAAATCCCATTTTAGACCCCCAAGCCCCCTGGGACCCTCAAACCCACCTGGGACCCCCTCAAACCCCATTTTAGATCCCCAAACCCCACCTTGGACCCCCAAACCCCATTTAGACCCCCAAGCCCCACCTGGGACCCCCAAGCCCCCTGGGACCCCCTAAACCCCCTGGGACCCCCAAACCCATTTATACCCCTAAGCCCCCTGGGACCCCTCAAGACCCACCTGGGACCACCCAAACCCTACCTGGGACCCACCTGGGACTCCTCAAACCCCCCAAACCCCACCTGGGACCCCCAAACCCCCTGGGACCCCCAAACCCTCCTGGGACCCCCAAACTCCCCCAGACCCACCAGGAGGGCAGGCGGGCCCCAGGGGCCTGTAGAGTGCAGGTAGGGCCAGGTAGCCCCAGGCCCCAGGGCCAGCAGGAAGCCCCCTGGGACCCCCAAAATACACCTGGGACCCACCTGGGACTCCTCAAACCCCTAAACCCCACCTGGGACCCCAAACCCCACCTGGGACCCCCAAGCCCCACCTGGGACCCTCAAATCTACCTGAGACCCACCTGGGACCACCCAAACCCCACCTGGGAGCTCCCAAATCCCACCTAAGACCCACCTGGGACCCCCAAACCCCACCTGGGACCACCCAAACCCCACCTGGGACCCCCAAATCTCATTTTAGACCCCCAAACCCCACCTGGGACCCTCAAACCCCACCTGGGACCCCCAAGCCCCACTTGGGACCCCCAAACCCCCTGGGACCCCTCAAATCCCATTTTAGACCCCCAAACCCCACTTGGGACCCCCAAACCCCACCTGGGACCCTCAAATCCCACCTGGGACCACCCAAACACTACCTGGGACCCACCTGGGACTCCTCAAACCTCCCCAAACCCCACCTGGGACCCCCAAACCCCCTGGGACCCCCAAACCCACCTGGGACCCTCAAACCCACCTGGGACCCCCAAACCCCACCTGGGACCCCCAAACCCACCTGGGACCCCCAAACCCCACCTGGGACCCCCAAACCCCACCTGGGACCCCCAAACCCCACCTGGGACCCCCAAGCCCCCAGACCCACCAGGAGGCAGGCGGCCCCAGGGACCCTGTAGAGTGCAGGTAGGGCCAGGTAGCCCCCAGGCCCCAGGGCCAGCAGGAACCCCTGGGACCCCCCAAAATACACCTGGGACCCACCTGGGACCCCCCAAATCTACCTGAGACCCACCTGGGACCTCCCAAACCCCACCTGGGACCCCCAAACCCCACCTGGGACCCCAACCCTGGGACCACCCAAACCCCTCAAACCCCACCTGGGACCCTCAAACCCCACCTGGGACCCCTCAAAACCCACCTGGGACCCCCAAAATCTACCTGGGACCTCCCAAAATACACCTGGGAACCCCCAAAATACACCTGGGACCCCCCAAACCTCACCTGGGACCCCTCAAACCCCACCTGGGACCCCTCAAATCCCCACCTGGGACCCCCAAGCCCCACCTGGGACCCCTCAAACCCCACCTGGGACCCCCAAATCCCACCTGGGACCCCCAAACCCCTAGACCCACCAGGAGAGGCAGGCGGGCCCCAGGAGCCCTGTAGAGGTGCAGGTAGGCCAGGTAACCCCCAGGCCCCCCAGGGCCAGCAGGAAGCCCCCCTGGGACCCCCCAAAATACACCTGGGACCCACCTGGGACCACCCAAATCCCCTCAAACCCCCCCTGGGACCACCCAAAATACACCTGGGACCCACCTGGGATCCCCCAAAATACACCTGGGACCCACCTGGGACCACCCAAACCACCCCAAACCCCACCTGGGAGCTCCCAAACCCCACCTGGGACCCACCTGGGAACCCCCAAATCTACCTGAGACCCACCTGGGACCACCCAAAATACACCTGAGACCCACCTGGGACCCCTCAAACCCCCCCTGGGACCCACCTGGGACCACCCAAACCCCCCCAAACCCCACCTGGGACCCCCAAACCCCACCTGGGACCTCCCAAACCCCCAAACCCCACCTGGGACCCCCAAACCCCACCTGGGACCTCCCAAGCCCCCTGGGACCCACCTGGGACCACCCAACCCCCAAACCCCACCTGGGACCCCCAAAATCCACCTGGGACCCCCAAGCCCACCTGAGACCCACCTAAGACCACCTGAGACCCCCAAACCCCACCTGGGACCCCCAAACCCCACCTGGGACCCCATACCCCCTGGGACCCCTCAAACCCACCTGGGACCCCCAAACCCCACCTGGGACCCCTCAAACCCCCCAAGCCCCCTGGGACCCCTCAAATCCCATTTTAGACCCCCAAATTTGCCCCCAGACCCACCAGGAGGGCAGGCGGCCCCAGGGGCCCTGTAGAGGTGCAGGTAGGCCAGGTAGCCCTCCAGGCCCCCAGGGCCAGCAGGAAGCCCCTGGGACCCCCAAAATACACCTGGGACCCACCTGGGACCACCCAAATCTACCTGAGACCCATCTGGGACCCCCAAACTCCACCCCAAACCCCACCTGGGACCCCTTCAAACCCCTAATCCCACCTGGGACCCCTCAAACCCCCTGGGACCCCCTAGGACCCCTGGGACCCCCAAACCTCACCTGGGACCCTTCAAACCCCCCAAGCCCCCTGGGACCCCTCAAATCCCATTTTAGACCCCCAAATTTGCTCCCCAGACCCACCAGGAGGGGCAGGCGGGCCCCAGGGGCCCTGTAGAGGTGCAGGTAGGGCCAGGTAGCCCCCCAGGCCCCCCAGGGCCAGCAGGAAGCCCCCCTGGGACCCCCCAAAATACACCTGGGACCCTCAAACCCACCTGGGACCCCCAAAATCCACCTGAGACCCACCTGGGACCACCCAAATCTACCTGGGACCCACCTGGGACCCCCCAAACCCCACCTGGGACCCCCCAAACCCCACCTGGGACCCCCAAACCCCACCTGGGACCCCCAAACCCCTGGGACCCCCAATCCCATTTTAGACCCCCAAATCCCCCCAGACCCACCAGGAGAGGCAGGCGGGCCCCAGGGACCCTGTAGAGGTGCAGGTAGGCCAGGTAGCCCCCAGGCCCCCCAGGGCCAGCAGGAAGCCCCCTGGGACCCCCCAAAATACACCTGGGACCCCCAAATACACCTGGGACCCCCAAATACACCTGGGACCCACCTGGGACCACCTAAATCTACCGGGAACCCACCTGGGACCACCCAAACCCCACCTGGGACCCACCTGGGACCACCCAAACCCCACCTGGGACCCACCTGGGACCCCCCAAATCCACCTGGGACCCCCTAAGATCCACCTAGGACCCCCAACACAGGCCCACCTGGGACCCCCCAAACCCCACCTGGGACCCCTCAAACCCCACCTGGGACCCCCCAAACCTCACCTGGGACCCACCTGGGACCCACCTGGGACTCCTCAAACCCCCCCAAATCCCATTTTAGGCCCCTAACCCCCAAATTTGCCCCCCAGACCCACCAGGAGGGGCAGGCGGGCCCCAGGGGCCCTGTAGAGGTGCAGGTAGGCCAGGTAGCCCCCCAGGCCCCCCAGGGCCAGCAGGAAGCCCCCCACGGCCACGGCCAGGAAGAAGCGCGAGGGGGGGGCGAAGTCTCCCACCAGGTGAACGTCCCTGGGCCAGGTGTGGTTGCACAGCTGGGGCAGGGAGGGCTGGAACGTCGACAGGTGCAGCCTGGGGGGGGGGACACGGGGGAGGGGTCAGCTGGGGTCATTTGAGGTCATTTGAGGTCACCTGAGCACACCTGGACCTCACCTGGACCCTCCTGGTTTCACCTGGAGCTCACCTGGACCCTCCAGGTCCCACCTGGATCTCACCTGGAGCTCACCTGGACACTCCTGGTCCCATCTGGATCTCACCTGGACCCTCCTGGTCCCACCTGGATCTCACCTGGTCCCACCCAGACCTCACCTGGACATTTCACGCCCCACCTGGATCTCACCTGGACCCTCCTGGTCACACCAGGACCTCACCTGGAGCTCACCTAGACCCTCCTGGTCCCACCTGGAGCTCACCTGGTCACACCTGGACCCTCCAGGTCCTACCTGGAGCTCACCTGGACCCTCCTGGTTCCACCTTGGACTCTTCTGGTCACACCTGAACACACCTGCATCTCACCTGGACCCTCCTGGTCACACCTGGAGCTCACCTGGTCACATCTGGTCTCACCTGGACCTCACCTGGATCTCAACTGGACCCTCCTGGTCCCACCTGGAACTCACCTGGACCCTCCTGGTCCCACCCTGGACACTCCTGGTCCCACCTTGGATACACCTGGAAGTCACCTGGACCCCCCTGGTCCCATTTGGACCTTACCTGGAGCTCACCTGGTCACACCTGGTCACATCTGGACACACCTGGATCTCACCTGGACCCTCCTGGTTTCACCTGGACCTCACCTAGACCCTCCAGGTCTTACCTGGAGCTCACCTGGACTCTCCTGGTTTCACCTGGATCTCACCTGGAGTCTCCTGGTCCCACCTGGAGCTCACCTGGACCCTCCTGGTTTCACCTGGAGCTCACCTGGACCCTCCTGGTCTCATCTAGACCCTCCTGTTCCCACCAGGATCTCACCTGGACACTCTTGGTCCCACCTGGACACTCCTGGTTTCACCTGGATCTCACCTGGTCCCACCTGAACCCTCCTGGACCTCACCTGAACCTCACCTGGACCCTCCTGAACCTCACCTGGATCTCACCTTGGACACACCTGGAGCTCACCTGAACCCTCCTGGGCCCACCTGAACCCTCCTGGGCCCACCTGGACCCTCCAGTTCCCACCCTGGACACTCCTGGTCCCTCCTGGTTTCACCTGGACCTCACCCGGACCGTCCTGGACCCTCCTGGTCCCACCTGGAGTTCACCTGGACCCTCCTGGTTTCACTTGGATCTCACCTGGAGCTCACCTGAAGCTCACCTGGTCCCTCCTGGACCTCACCTGGACCTCACCTGCTCTCACCTGGAGCTCACCTGGACCCTCCAGGTCCCACCTGAACCTCACCTGGACCCTCCTGGACCTCACCTGGATCTCACCTTGGACACACCTGGAGCTCACCTGAACCCTCCTGGGCCCACCTGGACCCTCCAGGTCCTACCTGGACCCTCCTGGACCTCACCTGGACCCTCCTGGACCATCCTGGTCCCACCTGGACCCTCCAGGTCCCACCTGAATCTCACCTGGACCCACCCAGACCTCACCTGGACCCTCCAGGTCTCATCTAGACCCTCCTGGTCTCACCTGGACCTCACCTGGTCCCTCCTGGTCCCACCTTGGACCCTCCTGGTCCCACCTGGACCTCACCTGGACCCTCCTGGTCCCACCTGGACCCTCCAGGTCCCACCTGGAGCTCACCTGGACCCTCCAAGTCCCACCTTGGATCCTCCAGGTCCCACCTGGAGCTCACCTGGACCCTCCAGGTCCCCCCTGGACCCTCCAGGTCCCACCTGAATCTCACCTGGACCCACCCAGACCTCACCTGAACCCTCCAAGTCCCACCTTGGATCCTCCTGGTCCCACCTGGACCCTCCTGGATCTCACCTGGACCCTCCAGGGCCCACCTGGACCCTCCTGGATCTCACCTGGACCCTCCAGGGCCCACCTGGACCCTCCTGGATCTCACCTGGACCCTCCAGGTCCCACCTTGGCCCCTCCCACTCCCCCTTTGGCCCCTCCCCCTTTGGCCCTGCCCCTCGGGAGGCCCCGCCCTCCCCCATCCCTCAGCCAATCACCTGAAGGGGAAGGCGAAGGGGGCGGAGACGGAGACGTTGGATTGGCCGGCGCAGCTGACGAGGAACGAGACCGAGCCCTCGAACCCGCCCAGCGTGGAGAAGGCCAAGACTGAGAAAAACTGAACAAAACGGCCCAAAATCGGTTAAAATGACCCAAAATTAGTGAAAAACGACCCCAGATTTGGTAAAAATGACCCAAATTTCATTGAAAATGACCCAAAATTCATCCGAACCCGCCCAGCGTGGAGAAGGCCAAGACTGAGAAAAACTGAACAAAACAGCCCAAAATGACCCAAAATTCGGGAAAAATCACCCCAAAATCAGTAAAAACGACCCAAATTTCATTGAAAATGACCCAAAATTCATAAAAAAGGGACCAAAATTCATTAAAAAGGGACCAAAGTTGGATAAAAACGACCCCAAAATCATTAAAAACAACCCCAAAATCGTTAAAAATGACCCCAAATTGGGTAAAAATGACCCAAAATTCGTTAAAAATGACCCGAAATTCAACCAAACTTGCCCAGGGTGGAGAACGCCAGCACCGAGAAAAACTGAACAAAATGACCCAAAATCGGTTAAAATGACACAAAATTCGGGAAAAAACACCCCAAAATCAGTAAAAATGACCCCAAAATCGTTAAAAATGACCCAAAATTCATTAATAATGACCCAAAATTCATTAAAAATGAACCAAAGTTGGTTAAAAATGACCCCAAAATCATTAAAAATGGCCCCAAAATCATTAAAAATGACCCCAAATTCATTAAAAATGACCCAAAAATCATTAAAAATGACCCAAAATTCGTTAAAAATGACCCGAAATTCGTTAAAAATGACCCCAAATTCATCCGAACCCGCCCAGGGTGGAGAATGCCAGCACCGAGAAAAACTGAACAAAACAGCCCAAAATCGGTTAAAATGATACAAAATTCATGAAAAAACACCCCAGATTTGGTAAAAACGGCCCAAATTTCATTAAAAATGACCCAAAATTCATTTAAAATGACCCAAAATTCATTAAAAGTGAACCAAAGTTGGATAAAAATGACCCCAAAATCATAAAAAATGACCCCAAATTGGTTAAAAACGACCCCAAATTCATTAAAAATGACCCAAAATCATTAAAAATGACCCAAAATTCATTAAAAATTACCCCAAATTTGGTAAAAATGACCCCAAAATCATTAAAAATGACCCCAAATTTGGTAAAAACAGCCCAAATTTGATTGAAAACGACCCAGAATTCATTAAAAATTACCCCAAATTCATTAAAAATGACCCCAAAATCATAAAAAATGACCCAAAATCTGGGAAAAAACACCCCAAATTTGGTAAAAATGACCCAAATTTCATTAAAAATGACCCCAAATTCATTAAAAATGTCCCAGTATAACCAGTACAACCCCCTCACCGCCTGCGGGGCCCTCCCAGTCCCTCCCAGTATGCCCAGTATAACCACTCCCAGTCCCTCCCAGTCGCTCCCAGTGTGTCCCAGTCTGTCCCAGTGCCTCCCAGTCCATCCCAATCCCCTCCCAGTCCCTCCCAGTATGCCCAGTATAACCACTCCCAGTCCCTCCCAGTCGCTCCCAGTCTGTCCCAGTTGCTCCCAGTGCCCCCCAATCCCCTCCCAGTCCCTCCCAATCCCTCCCAGTATGCCCAGTGCCCCCCAATCCCCTCCCAGTTACTCCCAGTCCCTCCCAGTCCCTCCCAGTGGCTCCCAGTCCATCCCAGTTCCTCCCAGTTCATCCCAGTCCCCTCCCAGTATGTCCCAGTATGTCCCAGTATAACCGCTCCCAGTCGCTCCCAGTCCCCTCCCAGTGGCTCCCAGTGCTCCCAGTTTGCCCAGTTTGAGCCCTCACGGCCTGCAGGGCCCGGATCAGCCCCAGTATGTCCCAGTATGTCCCAGTATGTCCCAGTATGTCCCAGTATGTCCCAGTATAACCGCTCCCAGTCGCTCCCAGTCCCCTCCCAGGGTGTCCCAGTGGCTCCCAGTCCATCCCAGTTTGCCCAGTTGGAGCCCTCACGGCCTGCAGGGCCCGGATCAGCCCCAGTATGTCCCAGTATGTCCCAGTATGTCCCAGTATGTCCCAGTATAACCGCTCCCAGTCGCTCCCAGTCCATCCCAGTCCATCCCAATCCCCTCCCAGTGCTCCCAGTTTGCCCAGTTTGAGCCCTCACGGCCTGCAGGGCCCGGATCAGCCCCAGTATGTCCCAGTATGCCCCAGTATGTCCCAGTATAACCGCTCCCAGTCGCTCCCAGTCCATCCCAATCCCTCCCAGTCCATCCCAGTGCTCCCAGTCCATCCCAATCCCCTCCCAGTGGCTCCCAGTGCTCCCAGTTTGCCCAGTTGGAGCCCTCACGGCCTGCAGGGCCCGGATCAGCCCCAGTATGTCCCAGTATGTCCCAGTATGTCCCAGTATAACCGCTCCCAGTCGCTCCCAGTCGCTCCCAATCCACCCCAATCCCCTCTCAGGGTGTCCCAGTCCATCCCAGTGCTCCCAGTTTGCCCAGTTGGAGCCCTCACGGCCTGCAGGGCCCGGATCAGCCCCAGTATGTCCCAGTATGGCCCAGTATGTCCCAGTATGTCCCAGTATGTCCCAGTATAACCGCTCCCAGTCGCTCCCAGTCGCTCCCAGTGGCTCCCAGTCCATCCCAGTGCTCCCAGTTTGCCCAGTTGGAGCCCTCACGGCCTGCAGGGCCCGGATCAGCCCCAGTATGTCCCAGTATGTCCCAGTATGTCCCAGTATGCCCCAGTATGTCCCAGTATAACCGCTCCCAGTCGCTCCCAGTCGCTCCCAATCCACCCCAATGCCCTCCCAGTGGCTCCCAGTGCTCCCAGTTTGCCCAGTTTGAGCCCTCACGGCCTGCAGGGCCCGGATCAGCCCCAGTCTGTCCCAGTATGTCCCAGTATGGTCCCAGTATAACCGCTCCCAGTCGCTCCCAGTCACTCCCAGTCCATCCCAATGCCCTCCCAGTCCATCCCAGTGCTCCCAGTTTGCCCAGTTGGAGCCCTCACGGCCTGCAGGGCCCGCATCAGCCCCAGCGGTTCCCGCAGCGCCTCCAGCGACACCCGCGGGGCCGCCATGGCTGCCTCGCTGACGTCACCGCGCACACGCCGCGCCGTGCAGTGACGTCACCGCGCCGAGCGCCCATTGGTCCGCAGGGCCCCCGCTCATTTGCATGCGTTTCATTTGCATATCCCTTATTTGCATGACCGTCATTTGCATGTCCCTCATTTGCATACGGAGACCGGAGGGTTTAAACGTCCCTTCATTTGCATAGCCACGCCCTCATGGTGGTAATTTGCATAGCCACGCCCTCTTTGGTTTTCCAACCCTCCCAGTCGCTCCCAGTTCCTTCCAGTTCGGTCCCAGTCCCTCCCAGTGCCTCCCAATCCCCTCCCAGTCCCTCCCAGTCCCCTCCCAGTCCCTCCCAGTGCCCCCCAATCCCCTCCCAGTTCCTTCCAGTTCTTCCCAATCCCCTCCCAGTTCCTTCCAGTTCTTCCCAATTCCCTCCCAGTCCCTCCCAGTTCAGTCCCATTCCCTCCCAGTGCCCCCCAATCCCCTCCCAGTCCCTCCCTCAGCTTAAACTCTCGCGAGATATCCCGGGGAGCGGCCGGAAGTGTCGTCAGGGGGCGTGGCCGGAAACAGGAACCGGCGGCGGCAGCGACGGTACCGGCACTGGGAGGGACTGGGAGGGACTGGGACGGACTGGGAGGGGATTGGGGGGCACTGGGAGGGACTGGGATGGACTGGGAGGGACTGGGAGGGACTGGGAGGGGATTGGGGGGCACTGGGAGGCACTGGGAGGCACTGGGAGGGGATTGGGGGGCACTGGGAGGGGATTGGGGGGCACTGGGGGGTCCCTGGGACGAATTGGGAGGGTACTGATCCGTACTGGTTTTTACTGGTCTATACTGGTCCAAACTGGTCCCGCAGATGAATCTGGACCGCGTGTCCAACGAGGAGAAGCTGGAGCTGTGCCGGAAGTACTTCCGGGGTCAGTGACCTTTGACCCCCAACCAGCCGGGGGGGAGGGGTCAATTTGGGGGAGATTTGGGGCAATTTGGGGCTGATTTTTGGGTCAATTTGGGGGGGATTTGGGGCTGATTTTTGGGTCAATTTGGGAAGGATTTGGGGCTCATTTTGGGGTGAATTTGGACTGGATTTTGGGGTCAGATTTGGGGGAATTTGGGGGTGATTTTTGGGTCGAATTTGGGGGGATTTGGGGCTGATTTTTGGGTGAACTTGGGTCAATTTGAGGCTGATTTTTGGGTCGATTTGGACTGGATTTTTGGGTGAATTTGGGTGGGATTTGGGGCTGATTTTTGGGTGAATTTGAGTGGGATTTGGGGCTGATTTTTGGGTCAGTTTGGACTGGATTTTGGGGTCATTTTTGGGTGGATTTGGGGCTCATTTTTGGGGGGAATTTGGGGCTGATTTTTGGGTGAATTTGGGAGGGATTTGGGGCTCATATTTGGGGGGATTTGGGGCTGATTTTTGGGTGAATTTGGACTGGATTTTTGGGTGAATTTGGGGGGGATTTGGGGCTGAGTTTTGGTTGGATTTGGGGCTGATTTTGTGTTAAATTTGGACTCATTTCTGGGTCAGTTTGGGTGGGATTTGGGACTCATTTTTGGGGGGATTTGGGTTGAATTTGAGGCTCATTTTTGGGGGGATTTGGGGCTGATTTTGGGGTGAACTTGGGTGGGATTTGGGGTCATTTTTGGGTCAATTTGGGCAAGATTTGGGGCTCCTTTTTGGGTGGATTTGGGGCTCATTTTTGGGGGGATTTGGGTTGAATTTGAGGCTCATTTTTGGATTTTTGGTGGAATTTGGGGCTCATTTTTGGGTGAATTTGGGTCAATTTGGGGCTGATTTTTGGGTGAATTTGGGTCAATTTGGGGCTGATTTTTGGGTCAGTTTGGACTGGATTTTGGGGTCAGTTTTGGGTGGGATTTGGGGCTCATTTTTGGGGGGGATTTGGGGCTCATTTTTGGGTGAATTTGGGTGGGATTTGGGGTGATTTTTGGGTGAATTTCGAGGGGATTTGGGGCTGATTTTTTGGGGGGATTTGGGGCTGATTTTTAGGTCAATTTGAGGCTGATTTTTGGGTCAGTTTGGACTGGATTTTGGGGTCTGTTTTGGGTGGGATTTGGGGCTGATTTTTGGGTGGATTTGGGGTTGATTTTTGGGTCAGTTTTGGGTGGATTTGGAGCTGATTTTTGGGGGGATTTGGGGCTGATTTTTGGGTGAATTTGGGGGGATTTGGGGCTGATTTTTGGGTCAAGTTGGAGTGGATTTTGGGGTCAGATTTGGGGGGGATTTGGGGCTGATTTTTGGGTGAATTTGGGTGGGATTTGGGGCTGATTTTTGGGTGAATTTGGTCTGGATTTGGGGCTGATTTTTGGGTCAGTTTGGGCTGAATTTGGGGCTGTTTTTTGGATTAATTTTGGTCGGGTTTGGGGCTGATTTTTGGGGGAATTTGGAGCTGATTTTGGGCTGATTTTGGGTTGATTTTTGACCCATTTCTGTGCTGATTTTGAGGTGATTTTGGGGTGATTTTGGGGTGATTTTGACTGATTTCTGTGCTGATTTTGGGGTGATTTTGGGGCTGATTTTGTGCTGATTTTGGGCTGTTTTTTGTGCTGATTTTGGGGTGATTTTGACTGATTTCTGTGCTGATTTTGGGGTGATTTTGGGGCTGATTTTGGGGCTGATTTTGGGCTGTTTTTTGTGCTGATTTTGGGGTGATTTTGACTGATTTCTGTGCTGATTTTGGGGTGATTTTGGGGCTGATTTTGTGCTGATTTTGGGCTGTTTTTTGTGCTGATTTTGTGCTGATTTTGGTGCCAGGGGGGTTCCTGCTGCTGCCCTTCCTGTGGGTGGTGAACGTGCTTTGGTTCTTCCGAGAGGCTTTTTGGGCCCCCCCGTTCGGGGAACAACAACAGATCAAGCGCTGTGAGTTCGGGGGCCTGGGGGATTTGGGGGGCCTGGGGGTCCTGGGGGGATTTGGGGGTCCTGAGGGGGATTTGGGGGCCTGGGGGATTTGTGGGGGCCTGGAGGGGATTTGGGGGTCCTGGGGGGCCTGGGGGGATTTGGGGAGGAATGGGGGAGTTGGGGGATTTGGGGGGCCTGGGGGATTTGGGGGTCCTGGGGTGTTTGGGGAGAGTTGAGGGGATTGGGGGAGGATTGGAGGGGTCCTGGGGGATTTAGGGGATTTGGGGGCCTGGGGGGATTTGGGGGTCCTGAGGGGGATTTGGGGGTCCTGGAGGGGATTTGGGGGTCCTGAGGGGGATTTGGGGGTCCTGGGGGATTTGGGGGCCTGAGGGGATTTGGGGGGTCCTGGAGGGGAATTTTGGGGTTCCCAGGGTGGATTTTAGGGTTCCCAGGATGGTTTAGGGGTTTTTGGGGGTCCCAAATCCATTTTTGGGGTCCCTGACCCTTTTTCTCCCCCAGACGTGGTGAGGTCGGCGGTGGGGCGGGGCTTTGGGGCGTGGCCCTGGGGGTGGGGTTGGGGTTCCCAGGGTGGATTTTGGGTGGTTTTGGGGGTTTTGGGGTCCCAAATCCATTTTTGGGGGTCCCTGAGCCGTTTTTTGGTCCCCTCTGTCCCCAGACGTGGTGAGGTCAGCGGTGGGGGCGGGGCTTTGGGGCGTGGCCCTGGGGGTGTTTTTGGGGTTCCCAGGGTGGTTTTCGGGGTTTTTGGGGGTCCCAAATCCATTTTTGGGGGTCCCTGACCCCTTTTTCTCCCCCCAGACGTGGTGAGGTCGGCGGTGGGGGCGGGGCTGTGGGGCGTGGCCCTGGGGGTGATTTTGGGGTTCCCAGGGTGGTTTTTGGGTGGTTTTTGGGGTTTTTGAGGGTCCCAAATCCATTTTTGGGGTTCCCAGGATGGTTTTGGGGGGGGGTTTTGGGGTTCCCAGGATGGTTTTTGGGGTCCCAGGATGGATTTTGGGGCTCTCAGAGTGGATTTTGGGGGGGATTTTGGGGGGGATTTTGGGGTTCCCAGGGTGGTTTTGGGGGTATTTTTGGGGTTCCCAGGGTGGATTTTGGGGGTCCCAGGATGGTTTTTGGTGGTCCCAGAGTGGTTTTTGGGGGTATTTTGGGTGGTTTTTGGGGTTTTTTGGGGTCCCAAATCCATTTTTGGGGGTCCCTGACCTGTTTCTCCCTTCCCCCCCCCTCAGACGTGGTGAGGTCGGCGGTGGGGGCGGGGCTTTGGGGCGTGGCCCTGGGGGTCTGGATCGGCCTCTTCCAGACCCGCCGTGGCCAATGGGGGGCCTTGGGCGACGCCCTCAGCTTCACCCAGCCAATGGGAGTGCCCTGAGCTGCCCTCCCCCGGCCAATGGGAGAGCTCCGTTGGCCCAGGGGGCGGGGCCACACCCGGCCAATGGGAGTGTCCCATTGCTGGGGGGGCGGGGCTTCACCCGACCAATGGGAGCGCCCGGATGGCCACGCCCGGCCAATGGGAGCGACCCAAGGGCCGAGGGGGCGGGGCTTCACCCGGCCAATGGGAGAGCTCTGAGCGAAGCCCGCCGGCCAATGGGAGTGCGGCACAGGTGACGGCGGGGCTTAAAGCAACCAATGGGGTGGGGGGAGGAGGAGGAGGGACTTTAATTGACCAATGGAGGTGTTTTGAATGGGCGGGGCTTAAAGGAGCCAATGAGAGAGCCTGGAGGGGGTGGGAGGGGTTTAAATCGGCCAGTGGGATGATGGGATGGGTGAGGCTTAAAGCAGCCAATGGGAGTGCTCAGAGGGTGGGGCGGGGCTTAAAGCAGCCAATCAGAGAGCCCTGAACACCATTAACCAATGGGAGAGCTCAGAGGTGAGGGTGGGGCCTCAACCAGCCAATGAGAGTGAGGGGCGGGGCTTCAGCCAACCAATGGGTGGCTGTGATCAGTGTGGCCTAAAGGAGTCAATGGGAGAGCCCAGAAGGGAGGGCGGGGCTTAAACCGACCAATGGGGGAAGGGCGTGGCTCAGCCCAACCAATAGGAGAGCCCCGGGGTGGGGGGTGGAGCCAAAGTGGGTGTGGCCCAAAAGGGGGAGGAGCCAAAGAAAATGGGGAGGGGCCAAAAAGGCACCATTGACCCTCCCCACCCCCCCAACAGGAGCGATGACATCACATGAGCCGTGACCACGCCCCCATCTCCAGACCACGCCCCCATCTCCAGCCACGCCCTTCTTCCCAGGGGCCCTCCCCCAATAAAGAGCGTTGGCCCCGCCCACCGACTCACGTGATGTCACTGACCACGCCCCCTCATTTGCATGCACAGGCATAGGATGGAGCCTTTATTGGGGGTGGAGCCTCGGGGTGGGCGTGGCCTGGTTGTGGGCGTGGCCTCGGGGTGGGCGTGGCCTCACTGGCGCTCGTAGATGATGCGCAGGAGGCGCAGGCTGGGCCCGTAACGCTGCTGCTGTCGCTGGGCTGCCTCCCGCCACCTGCACCAGTATAAACCAGTAA